TATGGATTTATACCGCGCCCAATAATATTTAAAACAAAAGTAAATAGTACCACCTATGCTTTTAGTAGACTATTATTTTTACTATTTAAAATAGAATATCTCATAAACACTTTGTTCACATTTTGATTAAAATTTAGAAGGTATTTACAATACGTCAAAGAAAAATTGTCTAATTCACAATTTGTATTATAACTTGTAGGTTCTCGTATCAAAACCCAAAGTTGGTATCGCCTAGGATATACTTCTTAAATGTTGTAAAAAGTCTAAGTATTCAAAAATATCGTCTTTCACTTAATTACAAAACTTCAAAAAAACAGAATTTGAATATTACAACATATAATTATTATTTAAAAACTAAAATGGGGTGAGCTTGCTTAAATACCCAATATCCCGTATACCTACTTACCAAATTCAACTATCAAATTGAGAGTTAACAACACTGCAGACAGTATAATTATGCATCTCAAGTAGCCATACCGTTGTTTCGTAACAGTTTTCCACATATCTTTTACCAATTTAATGTTGAAAAGTCTTGTATCCGCACCCTATATAAAAATATCGAAACAAAATTTGAAAGTCATTTGAAGCATATTATAATTACAATTCGAAGTAATGTGAGATTTTCTCTCGCGGTGTTTTCTACATATTTTTCCAACATTAGTTTATTAAGTCTATTAATGTCACGAGATGAGTATCTATTATTTAATCATTTACATTTGATTTCTGGGCCTTAGAAATTATATGGTATATTAAAAATCAAGTTCTTATGTTAAGCAGCTTAACCAATAACCATCTTAACTAGAAACAAAAAGCCACGTGTCATGTGTGATAATTATGTTTACCACTTTTATCTGGTCGGTTGTTTTGTAATTGGTAGCGATTAATTAATCGAGAAAAGTATTTAAGCACTGTATTGTTCACAGATTGTATTGAATTGATTATAAGCGTAAATACAGTCGTCAATAATTATATATAATTAAAATTATTAAATGTTTTAAAGTATTAAATATAGTGTTTGAAAAAAACATACATGATTGATATAAATTGACTATACATAGCTACATTAAAATTTTGGCTCCGGGAAATTGTCGTCATTATTGCTCCACTATAAGTTTGGACTTTAGGGGTAAAACTTAAGATTTTCCAGTCTTTTTCAAAATAATTTGAATAAACAAAAAAATTGAGTTTGAATTATGTAACAACAATTTAAATTTTGAAACATTTATTCAGAATTTTGATTTTTGTACTTCTTTTTATAGAATTTTTAAGGCTTTATATGGCATTCGATTCACTCTCCTATAGTCATAATTCGCGAGGAAAAAAACCAACGTATAAATATACTCACTGTTTGCGTATACTCCGAGAGACATTAACATCATGATTGGCTCTAAAGTAAGTCCGGACTTGCGATTCTTGACTTCTACACCGTTGGAAGGCTCAGAGCAGTCTTCCATCTCTGTTTCACTATGAATGATGAACGTCACCTCGTCCACTGTAACCGAATTCTCCACCAGGCTCTATAAAAACTCATAAACCCATAAGGCTATAACCCATGTTCTGAATAGGTGAATGAAAAAAAATTTAATTTTTTTAGAATTCGAAATTTTAGCATTTGACCGTGTAAGCACAAGCGACCCAACACAAAAAAAAACCGATTTAAACGAATAAATAAATGTACATGTAATGAATGTATCAGGGTTGAAACGTATATGTAATACTGTATAATTTTTTTTTTCATTGCTGCACTGATCAGCAGTTATCAGGTTGACGTGATTTGTTAATATTAATTGTTACCAAGTCATCTTTATTAATAACTTAATTTATATATTTGTAATACCTAACTAAAGATAAATTTGTTTTGATTTTATTTCATTCTAAATTCACCAAGTTGATGTGATTCGTTAGTTTTTTTATATTAGTTTACAAGAACCGATGTACTTATTAATTTTTAATTTTCAATTTTTTTTTAGTTTTTATTCTAAAAATATCGATAACATTTTTATCATTGAATCAAAAAGCTTGTTATTAGCTTTAATACAAGGTTCATCATAAGTTGGGGGGCGCACACAACACGGGAAATTATTGCTGAGGAAGAATAATATTCAGGAAAATATTTACTAGGAATATTTTTATCCCAGGAAAGCATTGTTGGCGAAAATATTAAATTGGAATAGTGTAATCGGGAAAGTATATCATAGGAAAAAAAAAATTAGGAAAACATTACACAGACATAGTGCTATCGGGAAAGTTTAACACAGGAAAAATAAAATTAGGAAAACATTATCCAGGAAAGTATTATACAGGAATGTTATACTTAGGAATATATTTAATAGGAAAATATTATCCAAGAATAATATTTAACAGACAATTAATATTTCGGACAAATAATAACGAAGAATTTAAAACCCAGGAAATTATTACACAGGAAAATATTATACAGGAAAGTATCTCATAGGAAAATATAACATGGGAAAAATACTTTACAGGAATAAAATAGTTAAGGGGCTAGAAATAGGCATTTTATGTACAAATTGCCAAATAAAACCATTAAAAAATAGATAGGTATAGACATGGGCCCCCATTGGTGGGGGGCTAAGCGCAATTTGTAATAGCCCCCCCACCAAAAAAAAGATAAAAATATTATTCAATTGTTTCCTAAAATATAAATAAATCTTTAAAAATTCAACTCTATTTCAATTTTTTTTTTTTAATGTAATTATTTAATTTTTATTTAAACTTTATAATTATTTTATATTATTGTCTATGCTAAATATGATAAAATTATCATTAGCTGTTTACCCAGTGTTTTATCTCAGAAATTTGACGCACGGGGCTAATAAAAATTCAGCACCCTTACGTAAATAGAGGTACGTGGTGTGCCGGCTGTCAACACAAAAATATTTAATTACAAATCAAAAGGTATATTTTATATAAAAATATTTTTATTGAAACCATCGTTTTCATACTATTATATACCGTATGTACGCGAAAACTTGGATCACTATAACTCACTTACCCTACAAACTCAATAGGTACTCAGTACAATGACTAAATAGATCTATTTAGTCATGCTCAGTACTCTATTATAGTCTATACATATTTGAGAATTCTACTAGAGGGTGATTGATGATTCAATAGTCTAGTTTCATGATTTGCAACAGAATTAAGAAAACCCCCAACAAGCCATCACTGAAATACATCCCCGACCCTAGAAAAAATAACAATCAGACTACAATATTACTGACAACGAATATTACGTATCAAGATCAAATATTTTTTAAAAGCTAATTAGTGGAATTACTACATTAATATTTGATATTTTGATAACAAATATATACTTATAATATAAGTACATTAGGTACCTAGTACTTACCTAATTATCACTAAAAAAAAATAATATTTAGGTACCTAATGAATAATTTCCAAGCATTATAAATATTATTATTTTGTTTCATATCAAGATTTGTTTCAACATTATGTTAATGGTTCATTTAAAAGATTTGGTACCAGCTACATTCATTAACTATTTGTATTATTTGACGTATCGATCATTCGAAATATTTTATAATTTTTAAATATTGTATCTATGTGTAAAACTTGTGAAAACGTTTTCCGAGTAACGACTCCTAATAATAATTAAAATTATTAATATTTACATTATCGTCAAAATATTATTAGGAAACGTAATATTTTATTTCCGGGATAATAGGTATATAATATAAAACAAAATATTATTATTAAATGTTTGAAAATTATAATATAAATATCATGGCTAATTTATTATTATATGAATATATGATAAATATAAAAGTAAGTTAAATTGTATTTAATAACTAGGTGCCATACCTACCTATATATTTTTAACTTTTAACATAGATTGTTTTTTTTTATTTTTATGTTTCGTAGCCCGTAGGTAAGTGGCGCCGACTGACATTTTACATAGTCTGGTCAACACTCAAAAATGTTACAAGACCACTACCCCGTTTCATTCACAACATTATCGCGGCGGGGGGCATTGCCCACCACCCCCTATAATAAAAAAAAACTATTCATACTTCTTCTATCTGATAATTTATTATAATAAGTTTAATAATTACAAATCTTTATTATTATATTTTTTCTTTATTATTTTACAACGGTAGCTACAATTTGCAATATATTATAATAATTAAAAGTTAAGGTTTCAGTTAAACGACTACTCGCAAAATTGTCAATTTGTTTTCTGTGTTAACAACTATATCCGTTTCACATGATATGAGCATGAGATCTTCGAGACGATTATTTAAAATCAAGTATGTTTTTTCGGACAAGATTGCTCATATATTTTAGTGTGTCTATTAACAGCTTATATGGTGAATGTGGTTGCTGTGGAATACTAAATTTGTAGGATATAAAACGAAAGAAACGATTTTGGATTGCATTGTATTATGAATATTTGCAGAAGGTTACCAGATAATAGAATTATATTCAAGAGTAGAACGTACCAAAGAGAAATATAAAGTTTTTAATGAAATGAGATTTGAAAAATCCTTACATGTCCTAGTAATAAATCCAAGAATGGATAATGATTTTTTTGAAATATTTTATAATGCCTATTAAAAGTTGAGTCAAACAGCAGTACACCTAAATCAGTATTTTCAAACACAAGATAAAATAAAATATTATTTAAATAATAGTTGTGGAGAACTGGAGCAAGCGACCTAAAAAAGTTACATAGAGCACATCCCGGGCCCTTAGTCGGTCCTAGTCGACGGCCACTGAATAAATAAATATATTACCTTTGTAGTACAATATGCTTTCACAGGATTATATTGGTACAGACACATAGGGTCCATAGTGAGTATAACTACGATACATTAAACGCTTCAAGCTCAAACTCAGAAACAAATATGCAATAATCATTATTTTTACAAAATATCTTTTAATATTTGTGCTACTTGTGTACATAATAATAATAATTATCAACAAATAACATTATTTTATGAAAAATAATATTTACACTACCAAATGCGTAAATTTGAAGTGAATATACTGTTACATATTGGACAGTGTTCTGAAACTAATGATTCTAAACACATTAAACATAAAGATTTAAGTCCACATGGAGACAAGGCGTGATTAATTTCCGCATCAAGACAAGCAACACACATATTTGCTCGGTTTTCTGTTTCAACAGCAGGAAGAACTTCAGGTACTTTTACTTGGACGTAAGGTAAATTTTGCATTTCCAAAATTCTCCTATTTTCTTCAATTTCCATCATATAAATAATGTCTGGATCTAACTCTTCAGTTATAATGAAATTTTCCTCGTTCCCTATAATTAATATCAATATTAATATTATTATGACCCGGGGTCGTAAGTTCATGCCCTAAAAAATAACTTTTGCACTAAAAACTAGCAAAATATACATTGAAATTTGTCTTGAAAAGTTCAGAATTATGCATTTATATTTACTAAAAATATGCAGATTAAAAAAGAAGAAATCATATTTAATTTTTGAAATAGTCTCCAACTAACTGTTGTACATTATCAAGAAACTAAGACTCAACCAAGAAACCATTTATTATAATTTATAAATATAATTATAGATTAATAGGGCCAATAACAACATTTGTTTTCCCATGACTTGAAATTTCATAATATCATAGCAACAAAGGTATTCTGTACTTTCACACAAGGCTGGGGGCATTAACGAGTTAAAAGTTAAAATTAAGTTACTTAAATCGTTAGTTTTTTTTTCAAATTAACTTTTAACTTTATTAAAGTTACTTTTTTCAGATTAACGTATTAACTTAAGTTAATTTTATTCAAAAGTAGGTATCTAAATTAAGTTAATTTCTGTCCGAAGAATAATGCAAATTTTGAATGAGGTTTTTAGTATAGGTACTTATAAGTACTTTTTTCGGGTAGTAGGGAGTCAAGTATGAGTTCAGAATTTCGGGATTTATTTTAGACAAGTAGGTTTTTTGACAGCTAGTTGGTACTTAGATGTATTAAAAAAATATAAAAAAAAAAAATTGTTAACTTGCCAACATTTTTTTTTACAATTACAATTCTGTGGTTAACGAAGTGCCGAAGCAGTATAGACGCAATATGGTGAACAATATTAATGAACTATGAACAATGAAAATGGTACATAGACTGTCATTGGTATTCGGTATAACCTAATTCCTAAAATGTTCATAATACATAATAGTCATATTTCTATTTTGGTAATTTACCATATTTATTTTCGGTTTTGTTCAAAAGTTGATAATTTATTGATAGGTTAGGTTTTTATTAGGATTATTATTCTACCACTGCTGGTACACACGAAATGTCAATTTACATGTACATTAATTAATAACATAACAATGATAACGACTGCGAATAGTGATCGCCCGCCGCCCGGTTAACGACCAATAGTGATCAGAAAAACCCGACATTGAAACTATTTTTTTGTTTTTTTTCTTATTAATTTTACAATAAGATATTCCTAGCTCATGCAATCTATATCTAGAGATATTAAAGAAATAATAATACATTTTTGGCTTGCGAAGTGCGAGGATTAATTCAACTTAATTTTACCTTAAAACTAAACATAGCACATTATTCTCCAATGTCGTACTATCGTGTATTGTCATTCAAACTTTTGCTGGTCTCCCTATTTACTATTATACGTATTAGGTTACACTGTTATAAAAATGCCAAACTGTATATTTTATCAATTCTCAGTATTCTCTGGGATAATTGTCCTTTACAGAACGGCGACTACCGTCCGTTTAATTATTGAACGAAAACATAGCTTACTGGTTAGGGTACCTACCGTTTTCAAATATAAATATTGAATACAATGATTTTTATAATAATTTAATGTAAAATAAAATTTAAAAATATCGAAAATGAATAGCATAATTTTCTATACCTTTTACCTAATATACAATATTCTACATATTATGTGGTCCCAGGATTTGACTGGCTCCAGGGCCTTCCGGACGATTTGCGGGGCCCGGGGCAAAGTAAATTTGTGGGGCCTAAAATGTCATTATCGTCAGTTGGCAGTTGCATTTATTTAAATATTTAATATTATGAATTATGATATATACCTACCTAGGTATAAGGGGGCTACGCGCAAATATACTTAAAAATATAGTACCTTGTACTTACAATACTATGAATAAGTAAATTAATTAATAATAAAACAGTAAACACGTAATATATTTATACTTAATATAATAATATTGATAAATTAATAAGTCTATAAATATAGTAGGCACCTAATACAATATGAAAAAAGGTAGACAAGTGGGTACCGCTCTGCTGTACAGTGGGTGTCAAGCATGTCGTTGTAATGGATGTGTTATATTTAAATTACATTGATAAATTATTGTAAACGAAAAAATATTCTGAGCGGAGACATTGTATCAGCCTATCACACTTGTAAAAGTAATCAAATTTAGTAGCTAAAAAAAATTAACAAAGATCGAAAACGTGGCTTCCCGGGGAACTTTTTTAGTTTGATAGAATTACAAAAACTTGTTGGAAACCTTCTATTAAAATGTCTCAAGTTAGGTATGAAAAAAAAACTTTTATGAATTTTGTCAAAATTGGAACTTTATAAGAATATAACAAATAATTGAGCCTATGTATTTTTAAAACTTCCATTAATAAAAATTATAAGGAACCTATCATTACATTTTCAAGATTTTTTACTAAATGAAAAAGATTTTATCGAGAATAATTTTAAAAAAATTTAGAAAAATGGAAAAATTTCTCATTGGGCTCAAGCCTATAACTAGCTCAAAAATAGTCAAAATATTGAGAAAATGTTTTATGGAGAATTCTAATATAAATATTTGTTGAAAATTTCAAGGTTCTACAGTTATGAATTTTTGAGATACACCAAAAAAATAAAATCGATTTTTCAAAAATTGATTTTGTATAATAGTCACCTATTTTTTTGTTTTTCTCAACGTTTTCTAAAACTACTAGAAATTTTTAATTTTGACTCCCCAAAAATACCAACTATAGTTTCACTTTTCTATCAGTAAAGATGCTGATCTAGGAAATCGGAGCACTTTTACTACCCAAAAAGGGCCATACAAAACAGAAAAAAAACACACATCATTGTAAAATAAATACATTTTTTCGCTCCGCTCAGAATCTAAGCATTTTTTTTCTATAAATATTATAGCTAAGTTTGTTTTTTTTTGGGGGGGGGGAGGGCAGAGCGCTTTGAAGATTTTCATCATTTTCAACTTTGAAAATTGAATTTTAATCATATTAACTCGTTTTAAATGCAATACATTTATTTGACGACTGATGTCAATTAATATAAGTAGGTATAGCCGTAGGTATAGGTAGTAAAAATTACAGCAATTAAGGATATAAAAATTAAAAAATATATAAATAATAATTTTTTTTTCTCATTAACTTGACTTTTTTATGGTTCCGCTCGCCCTGCCCTAGGGACGGCCCTGTATACCTATAACACACTCATGACTCACACCCACACACATATATAATATTATATTCTATAAATTGCATTCAATTTTCCTACTTATAATTTTTATTTTATTTAAAAATGTGGCGGTTGAAAATTTAAATGTCAGGTGCAGCACAAAGCTTGCACCCGCTAGGACCGCCCAATGCCTATAATATTCTAATGTTTATGCGTTTAAAGTAACGACAACCCGACAATCAATATAATATCATTATATCACATAACATTTAAATTATTATAAAATAATATAATAAATTAATATACCTTAAATTATTATTTGATTGATTATTTGTATTGTACATTATTATTATAAAAATAAAACGTAGGTACCGTTATTTGCACATACCTACCAATTTGAATATTAGTACCTTTTAATTTTTATCGTTTTAAATAATATATAATATAATATATTTATATGTTGTATCATATGATAAACATCTTATGTATTTTTTAACAAAGGTGTATATAATCTGGCACATCGCCAGAAAATTTCCATCAGGTGGGGTTATAATTTTGGCCCTTGTATCATTTTACCTACAACCAGAACATTCCCCTTAAACGTTTCAATTAGGCATGCATATTATAATCCTTTATATAATATAGGTACAACAGTATGATTGTATATTAAATAATATTATTAATTAATAATTATTTTGGTAAGCAATTATTATTAATTAATATTTTTAAAAATTAATTAAGAATTAATTGTTCCCATCTTTAATTATAAAAATTAATAAATAAAAAAACGTTTTAATAATTGGTAAAAAAAATATTACTTTTTGAGTAGTGGGTGGGTGGGTCAAGTGGCGCCGAACTCTACATTTAGTTAATCAATTGCTTCACATGATATATGAGTTCGGCACCACTGAGTTGGCCGATAGTGGTGGGCCTAGTAGTGGTTGAAGGGGGGCCTGGTCCACTTTTATTTTAGTGTGTAGGTTTGGAATTTTGGATGAATCAAAATGTTGATGTAGATATAACGCCAATATGTTTAAATTATTTTAAATATGCACTGACAACAATCATTCATACAATCACTACAATCCTTAATATCCAATTGTACAATATATTATGTCATTATTTT